GCTGCAGCGATTACAGGCATTACTGGGGTCTGAGTGAGCTTGGAGCCCATCCTAGGACGTACATGGGACACTGCCGGGGACGGCCTGGGGTCTGAGTGAGCTTGGAGCCCATCCTAGGACGTACATGGGACACTGCCGGGGACGGCCTGGAAGCGATGAGTTCATGCAATAAAAAAAAAAGGTGTCACACCTGGAAGTTCCCCACCAGCATCATCCCGAAACAGGCCAGTGATTGGGCCACCAGGCAGATGATGTTCATCCACGGCTTCTGAAGCCTGGGCTTCAGCTGCAGGTATCGGAGGACGCCAATAACGAATGCTGAAACGGAGAGTGGGATTCACTCAGGCATTTTTAAAAAGGCTTCGGGGAATCACAGCATCCATCATGCATCCTACCGTTGTAGCTACTGCTCTATGCTTCTCCCTGACTTCACCCACATTATCTCTAATCATCATCTTCATGCTAAATAAGAATGGCAAAGGATCAATGTGTGAAATGACCAGCCTGAGGTTAAACTGAACGCCTAAGCCTGATCTTAACATCAGGTGGCCAACCACTCTATCCTGCATTAAGGTTCCACTAGATCTGTGAATTCGGTTTAAAATGTTGCTGAAGGTCAACTGTGATGCAACTCTACTGCAATGACAATGTTGCTTGTTTAAACTCACTTGGACCGAAGCCAAATTCACACCCTTCACTAGTGTAGCAGTAACTGCACTTATTTATTTGAACTTTGTCCAAAGTGACACACATGTTTGAGAAATCAGGGTCAGACGGTCTATGGGGCAGTTGGGAGTCAGGGGCCTCGCTCAGGAGCCTCGCTCAGGGGCCCGATGGTGACATCACTCTGCCATGCCTGGGATTTCAACCGCTGACCGGCCAATCACAGGCACAGCATCCTAACTTGCTGAGCCACACACCCACCCACTATTATCAAATCTCATTCGTCAAGTCTGAGCAAAGCAAAACATACATATATAAAAAATAAAACTCATTATTGGCACCTGCAAATGCGGCCATATTCATGATTTGGCTGAAGTAGCAGCTGGCTGGCGGGGAGTTGCCTGCAATGCTGGGGAAGACACACAACGCAAAGAAACACTGCAGCGCCGTATTTCCTGCTCACTATTCACTGTGAGTGTCGCAGTCACACAATAAGCCACTGGTGGCTGCGACTGGCCATTGTGTACCTTATATATGGGGGGCGCAATGATCCTGATGCACTAGGACAAAACAAAACAACACATGATTATGCTATAGATTTGAAAAAGTACAACCAAAAGTCACCTTGTTTTTCAAATTCAAATTTCAGTCTGAGTGGTTTGGGCTGTTATCTTGAATTGAATTAACGATCTTTAATCAGAATGAAGTCGACACCAGGAACTCTCACACTCTCTGCATATACTTACTTGAATTCTGAACTAAGTGATGCTATTTTTCCATCCTCAACAGCAATAAAGTACCTGTGAAGAATATTCAGAACAAATAGTAAACATATACAGTTTATCGTTAAGGGGAAATGTTGGAAATAAAAAGTGCATTTTATTTATGCCGTATGGAAATTTGATTTGATGGTGCAAATGGTTGGCGGTATAAGCAGGACTGACAGATTTTTTTTACACTGTTATGTTATTTCATTAATTGCTGTAATAAATCGTAAACAGGTCAGTACACTTTTATTTGTGAAAAGACGCTTGGTGTGCTAGCAGAATGATGCTCTCTAGAGTCATTTTCACACATGAATCAGGGGCACGTTTCCCAAAAGCATAGCTGCTAACAATGTTAGCAACTTACACAGCTGGAACCGTGCAACCAAATGGGTCCAACTATGGGTCCAACAAATCAACTTACTAAAGTGAGCTTTTGGGAACCGTACCCCAGGTCCGGGCAGCGTACCCCAGACGTACCCAGGTCTGGGCAGCGTACCCCAGACGTACCCCAGGTCCGGGCAGTGTACCCCAGACGTACCCAGGTCTGGGCAGCGTACCCCAGACCCGGGTATTTTCCAGAGCTGCCATCACAAATGTGCCACACTACTGAACATTGCCCATGTCAGACACGTTCCCACCTACTATAAATACTCAAAGGATGCCACTTGGGTAGAGCTGCAGGGGGCAGGACATGATGCAAAAAGTATGCTGCAGTTTTCATGTTCTGTTCACAGCACATTGAAGATGTTCCCTGGTCGACCTGCACCTTGTTCCTGTTCGGATCACACTGCAGTCACAGAGCCGGTTTGTAAACTGATGATACACAACTGGGTCTCTTGCCGTTCCTCGAATCTCTTGGACAATTTCAGTGTCAACCCTTACTGACACAATTTTCTGGCTGTTTGTATTCTTTCGTTTTCGAACTAGTCACATGATAGAAACGTCACCAACACTGAACTCGCTCGCTGTGAATTCTCCAGATGATTTCCTGCTCCATTCACACATGGGGGTCAATCGGAAACTACCCAGACTTTGTACAAGAGAGCTAGCAAGGTAAAGTCTGTTTAATGTGTGGTATGACTGATTTGGACATTTGCATTCACACATAAAGTCCCTCCACGGAACATCTAGAAAAGATCAGGGTGGCAGTACAGTTCTGAACGGGACTTAGGAGAAGCTGCTCTCTTAAGATAGATGGATGGATGGATGGATGGATGGATGACTGGATGGATGGATGTATACAGAGGTAGAGAAGGTAGGGAACAAAAAATGCAACTTACACAACCCAAAGCCCTACTGTTGTGAAAACCCAGAAGAGGATGGGGAGGAACATCCATGGATTGCATGCCCACATGTCCGACTGCTGCTCCTTTAAAAAGAGGAAATACAGGTAATTCAGCAGCCTAAAAGGCCTCCTCAGCTCCAGCTCTAGCTTTAATACACAGTTAGAAATGCTTTGTATCTTCATTCCTAAATTCATATTGATTTAATTACACAGTAACTATACATTGGTATTTTGTGACGTGCCACATAATGGGGTGGGGTGGGGGTGCGCAATTTAATTTAAAAATGTATTGTATCCCTTGTACTTTAAATGGACAGAGTACAGTTATTAGGAAACTGTTTTAAAAAATATTTCCCCACCCTGACCTCTTAGGGGCTCCGGACATGTATGTCTTCAGATGGCCAAAAAAGAGTGTTAATGAAATAACGCACTGGTTACCCTATTAAAATGTAACAGCTTGCCCCGAATACGTCTCACGTCACAGCTACCATGCTATTGTGACCAGGGGCGTTGCTAGAGATTTTGGGCCCCATGAAAGCATATCATATTAGGCCCCCCAGTCCAAACCAATCCAGTTATATTCCTAATTTTTTAGGGCCCCTGTCACTCAGGGGCCCTTGGAATCGTCCTAGCTTTCCTCCCCCTTACGGCGCCCCTGATTGTGACTTACATGAACTATATGAGCCATTTACATATTGTAAATGAGAGGTTGCCGAGCCATGCCGCTTGTTGCCCAGAAGTGACACTGAGACAGTTCCGGGTTCTGCCACCACGTGGCTTTATTGCGCCCGTAGCGGCCACCCTCACAACATGCTCGCGCTGCCCACCGCCCATCACCCCACTTACTCCTAATATACAAGGTGGGCACACACACACACACACACCAGCATAATAGGTGCTTTAAAAAGGTTCTTTAAAGTCATAGATTATGCAATAATCTGAGTGTGTGCATTTCGGTAACAGTATTTATCACTAGTGTAAATAATAAATTACTATTTTTATAGTTAATCGTTTTAGTAATCTCAATAAGATATATTTATCGTTTTGTACTACAACCTGTAAAGGAAGACTTCCCTTGCTGCGGTGTTGTTCCAAAGGCGCTTAGGTTCGCTTCTGATTTCGTAGATTCGATTTGCGCGGCTTCTTATTCGCAGTTTGATGTGATGTGATCTGATGTGATGTGACGTGACATTTGAATGCGTGGCTTCGAGGCGTCTCGAGAGTTAAGGGGCGTGCCGGATTTCGAACCTTATATCGTTTTACAGAAAACCATGCGACCAATGATAGACTAGGCCTCGGTTTCTGCGGAACACGGCAGCAGTTACTTTGAGTGTCGTTTTCGGTACAAAGTGTGTAAAACAGTGAATTGCTGTCAGATGATCGTTTGGTCCGCGAGTAGCGGAGTCAGCGAAGTATTGAGGAAGTTCTGAATAAAAATGATAAATCCATACGACATTTGTGATTTGTAATAATAGTTACTTGTAGTAGGTATTGCAGTGGTAGTTATTTTTGCTACTTGATTGTTATTAGAAAACTGTCATCCCTCGTTATTTATGTTCAGGGACGTACTGTAGCCACTTACGACTCACCTGTTTACTGAAAGAAACTCGTCATCAGGTGTCTGCCCTCTTTTAACTTGATCTCTCTAGCTCTCTGTTCTCCTGAAACCCCGATTTTAGTTTCGGTTTCGTTTCGTATTCAGAATCTGAATGATTGCGTACGTTAATTATTTACATAATGGATTTGCGCACCGGAGGATTTTTTTTTTAAATAAAAATATTTTTATTGAAATCTTTACATGGCATAACCAAAAACCAAAAACACAGGGTACAATCGATTATATGAAGATGAACATACGCCCTATGCACTACTTTAAACTGAATTAATCAATGACGAGCACGTAAAGAACCATTTTAAGTGCAGAATTCAAGACATCTTCCAAAAGGGGAAACCCTAGGTCCTTTCCCACGGATGCTGCACCATGCCTGTCTGTGGGTGCGGGCCTGAGACCGGACACCAAGCCACATAGTTTCGAGGTAAGCCTTTTACAGGAGGCGTTTAAAGAGAGAATCATATCAACAGCTGTTCTGTTTGCTGGTGAGGGCATGTTGGAAAACTGGGAAAGTACACGCTGCCTTACTTAGGTACCTGAAAAACTTAGATTTAGGAAGACTACATTTTTTTGCTCTACTGCTCAAATGATGCCAGAATGTTATCTATAAACATATCTTTAAAATGCACAATACCTTTCTTTTGCAATTCCAAGAAAACAGAGTCCTGAGTGGACGGTTTAAAAAGGTGATTCAAACCAATATGACACAGGGCCTGGTTAGTCAGGTCTGACTCCTCTGGGTATGTTAATATACAGCTGTGGTCAAAATTTTTGAGAATGACACAAATATTAATTTTCACAAAGTTTCCTTCCTCGGTTTCTATGATGGCAATTTGCGTATAGTCCAGAATGTTATGAAGAGTGATCAGATGAATTGCAATTAATTGCAAAGTCCCTCTTTGTCATGAAAATGAACTTAATCCCAAAAACACCCACTTCCAATGCATTTCAACCCTGCCACAAAAGGACCTGATGACATAATTTCAGTGATTCTCTCGTTAACACATGTGAGAGTGTTGATGAGGACAAGGCTGGAGATCACTCTGTCATGCTGATTGGGTCAGAATAGCAGACTGGATGCTTTAAAAGGAGGGTGGTGCTTGAAATCATTTTTCTTCCTCTGTTAACCATGGTTACCTGCAAGGAAACACGTGCAGTCATCACTGCTTTGCACACAAAGGGCTTTGCAGGCAGGGATATTGCTGCTACTTAGATTTCACATAAATCAACCATTTATCGGATCATCAAGAACTTCAAGGAGAGAGGTTCAATTGTTGTGAAGAAGGTTTCAGGGCATCCAAGAAAGTCCAGCAAGCGCCAGGACCGTCTCCTAAAGTTGATTCGGCTGCAGGATCGGGGCACCACCAGTGCAGAGCTCCCTCAGGAATGGCAGCAGGCAGGTGTGAGTGCATCTGCACACACAGAGAGGTGAAGCCTTTTGGAGGATGGCCTGGTGTCAAGAAGGGCAGCAAAGAAGCCACTTCTCTCCAAGAAAAACATCAGGGACAGACTGATATTCTGCAGAAGGTACAGGGATTGGACTGCTGAGGACTGGGGTAAAGTAATTTTCTCTGATGAATCCCCTTTCCGATTGTTTGCGGCATCCAGAAAAAAGATTGTGTGGAGAGGAAAAGGTGAGCGCTACCATCAGTCCTGTGTCATGCCAACAGTAAAGCATCCTGAGACCATTCATGTGTGGGGCTGCTTCTCAGCCAAGAACACAGCCATGAATAAAGAATAGTATTAAATCATACTCTGAAAACAACGTCTCCCAACCATCGAAGAACAGCTTGGTGATGAACAACGCCTTTGTCAGCATGATGGAGCACCGTGCCATAAGGCAAAAGTGATAACTAAGTGGCTCAGGGAACAAAACATCGACATTTTGGGTCCATGGCCAGGAAACTCCCCAGACCTTAATCCCGTTGAGAACTTGTGGTCAATCCTCAAGAGGCGGGTGGACAAATAAAACCCCAAACTCCAAGGATTTATTATGCAGGAATGGGCTGCCATCAGTCAGGATTTGGCCCAGAAGTTGATTGACGGCATGTCAGGGTGAATTGTAGATTTCTTGAAAAAGAAGGGACCAATGCTGCAAATATTGACTCTTTGCATAAACTTAATGTAATTGTCAATAAAAGCCTTTGACGCTTATGAAATGCTTGTAATTATACTTCAGTATCCCATAGAAACATCTGACAAAGATCTACAAACAATGAAGCAGCAAACTTTGTGAAAACCAATACTTGTATCGTTCTCAAAACTTTTGGCCACGGCTGTACAACCTTCATTTTTGTCAGTGCCATTTATATTGAAATCATTGACACAAACAATTACACTGGACATAAATGAATACAGAGGCAGTGGGACGTGTGATACTTACACAAAGAAGTCCATTACATCACTCCTTATTGTTATTGTGTACAGAAGTGGTATCAGCTTATACGACTCATCCCCCCCCTTTTCGGCAGCAATTTTTGGAGAAAAAAAAAAGCCAAATCGTATCTCCATAAAGAAAATTTTATTTAACAAGAACATATATAACCACAAGAGTGTTAAAAAGCAACCACAGGTTATGGCAAAATTACAATATTACAAAATCCACAACCCTAGAGATCAAAGAATGTTTTCGACGCAGCAAACCCACATCACGAGCGCAAAAATGTGTTGTGGTGAGTGGTTGAGTCATTTTAGCAACGGATTTGACATTTCTTTTAAATGAAAGTTTCGGTCCCCGCGCTTCCACGGCACACATTACACAGTCACAACATTTACAATGAACATAAACACACGAGCACAGGACCCACAGTAATTTACGGTAACGTCCTGCTGACGAGCCCCGCGGCGTCATATTATGTCAGCCAATCGTGGACAGCGGGTGGGATCACGGCAACAGAGCGTTAAATACAAGTCATAGACAAAAGCAGGGGAGCAGGAGAGAAAAATAAAGCAAAGGAGCAATACAGACACAAGCTCAAGATCTATATTAAATGATTTAGATGGATGCATTTTTTAACAGCCTTAATATTTTATGAAAATACAATATTCTACTTTCTAAACATTTTGAAAGGTCATTTTTGAAAAGTGGAAACAGGATGTACAGTTACTAAATGTATATTTATGAATATAACATTTGGCAAAAGTAAAAATAAAATTCATTATAAAATATTTGTCATGTCCCTTCTTCCTGTAATAAAAAAATCCCAGAGAAAATGTCTTTAAAGAATATTTAAAAAATCATTAAAGAACATCTGACCAGAATTGTTCAGTATGGATACACATCCAGAAGAAATGCACAGCAATTTGGGAGATCTCAGCATTTTGGGCTTTTTGGACTGTGGGGGGAAACTGGAGTGAGTATCTCACGACGACACAGGGAGAACATGCAAGCTCCACAGACAGGGAACCCTGTAAGACTCAAACCCAGGTCATAGAGGTGAGGTGACAGGACTAACCACTGCGCCACCATGCCGCCCACAGCTGCTATCAATTTCCTTTTTTAATCTAGAAGAAATAAAAAGTTTGACAGGGTAATATTTATGTAGCAGTTTATTAATACTCCTCTCACATTGTTAGCTGAAAGATATTTATCTGTTTTTTTTTTGTCCAAAAACACTATCAATAACACTATTCCAATATGAGATCACATGAGGTACAGTGACAGTATCTTGATGAAGAAGTGATTTAGCTCTTTTATTGTTGTAACTTGTTGAAAAGAAAAACCCCACATCTGCTTCACAGGAATCAAAACTGGAACAACAATAGTTGAGAAAGAAATTCATGTCAAGAGCATCATTACACCTGAAGGAATGACATCAAACACGAGAGAAGCTGCAGTGATATACTGTACAGTGAGAGCAATCCCCAATAGTTATATGACTGACCATCTGATTTAAGTAACAGACCAACCTAAATGATGTTACTCTTAAACCAGTTTTCAATGAAAATAGATTTGTAAGTAATATTCCAGTGTTCCAGATAAAATAAAGTCCATTTAAACTGGGGTACCTTACATCCGACAAGTTATCTGGCGGAGCAGGAGATTCTACTTTCTGAACCCCCAGGAAAGGAGCATCTGTCTGTGAAGGGTAGTTTGATGGGGATCTTTGAGGTGTCATGGTTGCAGACCAATAAAAAAATAGAAAACATTTAGGAGGAGACAACATTCCAAATTATTCTGGAGGTATTGTTTCAGGTTGAGAAATGGAGAATATTTAGTCCACCGTCTTCCACTGCATTCACACAGTATTAAGAGAGATTTTATAATGAAATGGACCTTTTTTCTCCACATAAAGTCCAATATCATTCTGCAATTCTTTCTGAGCGTAGGATCATTAGCATATAAAGAGAGCTGCGTAAGTAAACCTGGACAGACCTTCAGCCTTAGAAAGCAAAACTCTGTCCTTCATAGATAAGCCTCCCTGCTGGAGCCACAACTTAAAGTTCTTTTGAGTCTTATCAGTGATTGAAGAGAAATTTGAGGGTCATTTTTATTGCCATTAACTCATATTTATTTATATTCAGACACAGCCCTGAAACACGAGAAAAAGATCCAAGCAAATCTAAAGCAATAGAAAGTTGAGATGCATCTTTGAGAAATAATATGGCATCATCTGCCAGCTGCCTGATGGAAATATGTCTGCCTGCCCCCCTGATCGCACTCAGACGATTATGTGAGATACATGTGACAAGAAAGTGAGAGGCAGTCAGAAAAAGGTTAGGGGATATTGGGCATCCTTGTCTAATACCGCGGGATAAATAAAACCACGGGGAAGTGCCGTATTTTTATTAAATTCAGCTGTTGTTATTGTTGTATTAAGTTTTAATTGTTTGGCAATAAAAGGCTCCAAAAGCCACATTTTTCCAATGATATTAAAATAAAATTGTGCTCAACAGTGTTTCATGAAAATCCAGAAAGAAAATTAACTTGTCTGAACCAGTCACAATACTCCAATAAATCTAAAACAAGTCTAATATTATTGAATATTATGATTCGCTATACACTCACCTAAAGGATTATTAGGAACACCTGTTCAATTTCTCATTAATGCAATTATCTAATCAACCAATCACATGGCAGTTGCTTCAATGCATTTAGGGGTTTGGTCCTGGTCAAGACAATCTCCTGAACTCCAAACTGAATGTCAGAATGGGAAAGAAAGGTGATTTAAGCAATTTTGAGCGTGGCATGGTTGTTGGTGCCAGACGGGCCGGTCTGAGTATTTCACAATCTGCTCAGTTACTGGGATTTTCACGCACAACCATTTCTAGGGTTTACAAAGAATGGTGTGCAAAGGGAAAAACATCCAGTATGCGGCAGTCCTGTGGGCGAAAATGCCTTGTTGATGCTAGAGGTCAGAGGAGAATGGGCCGACTGATTCAAGCTGATAGAATAGCAACTTTGACTGAAATAACCACTCGTTACAACCGAGGTATGCAGCAAAGCATTTGTGAAGCCACAACACGCATAACCTTGAGGCGGATGGGCTACAACAGCAGAAGACCCCACCGGGTACCACTCATCTCCACTACAAATAGGAAAAGGAGGCTACAATTTGCACAAGCTCACCAAAATTGGACAGTTGAAGACTGGAAAAATGTTGCCTGGTCTTATGAGTCTCGATTTCTGTTGAGACATTCAAATGGTAGAGTCAGAATTTGGCATAAACAGAATGAGAACATGGATCCATCATGCCTTGTTACCACTGTGCAGGCTGGTGGTGGTGGTGTAATGGTGTGGGAGATGTTTTCTTGGCACACTTTAGGCCCCTTAGTGCCAAATGGGCATCATTTAAATGCCAAGACCTACCTGAGCATTGTTTCTGACCATGTCCATCCCTTTATGACCACCATGTACCCATCCTCTGATGGCTACTTCCAGCAGGATAATGCACCATGTCACAAAGCTCGAATCATTTCAAATTGGTTTCTTGAACATGACAATGAGTTCACTGTACTAAAATGGCCCCCACAGTCACCAGATCTCAACCCAATAGAGCATCTTTGGGATGTGGTGGAACGGGAGCTTCGTGCCCTGGATGTGCATCCCACAAATCTCCATCAACTGTAAGATGCTATCCTATCAATATGGACCAACATTTCTAAAGAATGCTTTCAGCACCTTGTTGAATCAATGCCACGTAGAATTAAGGCAGTTCTGAAGGCGAAAGGGGGTCAAACACCGTATTAGAATGGTGTTCCTAATAATCCTTTAGGTGAGTGTATGTTGATTTTTCATGAATCCAGACTATGATTCGTCATCTTTGACTCCTTTAGCCAACGACAGGAAGGTGACGTCATATTGCTAAAAAGACGTCAATTCCGTTTTCTCCAGACTCAAGGGCTCATGATTTGGCTGCTATACATTTCTTTTACCAGTAGATGTCGCAAGTGAATGGTGTGTTGAATGAGGTTTCAAGTAATGAGCCTTCTGGAAATCAGTGGACTGGAAAGCCTCTGTACTTCAAGAAGCTTCATTTAGCATCAAAATAATGGGGCAGAAAAATTCTTATCACGTAGACGTCGTGACGTTTTTCCTGCCTGAAACGGTTTTTGACCATTGTAATGTACATAAATACATAAAACATATTTTAAAACACATTTTCCAAAAAGTTAATCAGAAGTTTCTGTGCCTTTTGTAAACATTCTTCCATGCTATGTGTACCCAAAATCTCACAATTTACCTGGGCGCTTCAACGAACACACGTGTCCTTTAGCTTTATTGCTATGCGAAACGCGAATATCTAACTTCAGCCAGCGAATAAGACGCTAGACGAATCGGAAGCTGCGAATCAGGAAACTTAAGGGTCGTCAAACAAGTAAGCAAGCATGTTAATATTTGAACCAAATAAATATAACCATGAACACTAAACAAAACCTGAAAACAATATAGCCGCATATAATAATACTGCATGAAATTCATATATTGTATTAGATCATCATTATATGAAGTAAAATAATGCCGTATTTTTCACACGTGGAGTTATTGGATTTTTGTTAGTGCATTTAATGCAGGCGGTATTATTTATAGAGGAAATGCAAGCAGATGCCGGCCTCTGGTTTTGCAGGTGCGAGTTTCCGCAGTAAGTCTGATGCGAGCCGACGTCCGCACGGGTCAAAGTGAGATCGCTACACCCCGCATTTAGAACCACAGCTTATACACGGTGCATACAGGCGAAATTCGCAATATAGTATTAATACTTTCGCATGTAAATATTCACCAAACTCGGGCGCTTCGAATGATTTAATCCATGAGGATTTACGCTACGCAGTTATTGCACCACCGCGTCTGTACTGATGTTATTGCGTTTAGAAAAACTTTTTGGCGGTCCCAAGGCAAAATACACAGCCACTAAAATGTATACAAATGCAGGGGCAATGTACTATCTGCTGTTAATATTTTTTATTTGTTTCAGTCGTCAGTCCTGTCGGAAAGAAGACCCTTTTCCAACGAGGCAATGGCGACTCCAGATGCCTTGAAATTAAAAGGTGTGTCCGTACAATGCATTACACACAATCAATGAGCCTTAATATCTGTTTTAGACGCTGTTCTAGTAATCCGGCTTTAAAATAGGATATACTAGGCGAGGGAACTTCATTCAGAAGACGGTACCATATCCGATTGAGGTTTGTAAGGACGCTCAGTAAGGAGCTGCACTATTGTGAATTTTTTCTCCTGTTAGGCCTTTACTAATCACAGTTGCTTACCATACAAATCAGGGTTGCTACGGAGATGACGCTTAACGATGTTTCGTCCAGTCAAAAGTTTCACCTCTGCGTTTGTAGATGTGATCTGCTGGGTTCTGATTGGACATGTTTACAGCACGCTGCTGGGTTCTGATTGGACATGTTTACGAACTGCTTACTCTGAGTTGTCCATAATGTTCCTCTGTGATGTTGTGCTGCTCCATCAAAGGCACAGCAAATGTTACAACCCGCATGTCCTGTGACAGGTTTTAGACCATCAACACTAATAGGGTGTGTAATTTGTAGTTATTCTGGACATTCAGCCCTGATATTTGTGTGCTTTTCTTCTTCTTTAGTCTCATTTCTTCCAGACTACATCACCCCTTCTCACCATATCTTTCTTTCTGATTAATTCACCTAACCCCCCCCCCGCCCTCTGTAGAGTTTGAGGAAACTTCAGAGCTTCTGTTTAATGCCTCCAGTGTCAGCACAAACAGTACAGTGAGCCGAGGGTCGGTACTGGTACCAGTAGAGGGATCCGTCAAGTTGGACATGTCGGAGGATGACGAGGAGGAAGGCCAAGAGGAGAAATCAGAGGTGCCTAGATGGGGCGTCAGCAAAGTGCTGATGACCCCCAGCTAGACTGCTGGAGTAGACTTTGTTGTAGAAAAATCCACTGGTGTTCCTAACGTTTTTATTTTGTCCCCAGCTATTAGGAGGAGAGAGAGAATTCAGTAGCTTCTGGACATTTGAGTACTATCAATCCTTCTTCAATGTTGACACATTACAGGTGAGTACCTGCATAAACAGGTGCTTTGTTCAGGTGCCTGGTCATATTACACAGTCAAAAGTTTCACCTCTGCGTTTGTAGATGTGATCTGCTGGGTTCTGATTGGACATGTTTACGGCACGCTGCTGGGTTCTGATTGGACATGTTTACGGCACGCTGCTGGGTTCTGATTGGACATGTTTATGGCACGTGGTCTGTCCTGCAGGTGCTTAACAGGGTCAGAGGGTCGCTCTGGCCTTTACCTGGACGAAACATCGTTAAGCGTCATCTCCGTAGCAACCCTGATTTGTATGGTAAGCAACTGTGATTAGTAAAGGCCTAACAGGAGAAAAAATTCACAGTTCATTATGACCTTGGCTTTGGGTTCATAGTTCATGCAATTTTAGGGTAGAGCAGGGAAATCAGGATTTGTTTTGAAAATATTTATTATCAAAACTGAAAACAAAGACATTTAGGAACAATTATAACCTAGTGGCAGCTAGTGAGAAATGTTCCAGGTGGGGCTGTTTGAGCCGTATTCTGTCAGTTTCAGTAACCATCCCAAGACAATTTACCACAAACTGCAGGATATCAGTGTTCTGTGAGCCCAGTCTAAATATCTGGGTAAAAGTAACTTGCAGAGGTTGTTTCCGCCTCACTTTGGTCGTACATACACTCAGATGATGTCGCCTCACGCTAGTTAGCTCACGTTTCCCGCAACAGTTAATTCAGCTGTAGTCCGTATCGCAGAGCCGACAGGCAGTTGTAGTCAATTACTCTCTCCGGTGTTGGTGTAGTTTATTAGGGAACAAAATGATCCGAAACTGCTGATTATGACTATAATAGACTATGGCTTTTATGACCATAGCCAGCATTAGCCTTGACCAACTCACAGGCATAATTAGCATAAAGTTTCTGTGTTGAAGAACAACTTCTTGAATTTAGGTTTCACCCATGTCACATAATTGAGAATTATGTATCAAATGGTACACGACAAATACGTGTAACATTACAGCCCATGTGATTACATAAGAAGAAGAAGAAGATTCTTCAGTTAGCTTCAGTTATAGCGTTGGCTAACACCCTGGTGCTGTGAAGCTAATACAAACACAATCACACCACCCCTGTATACCGACATTCACAATGTGACACTCTTCCTCACCATCCAGGACCATTCTGGATATGTGTCACTCTGGTGTTCTCCATGACCATCAGTGGGAACATCTCCACGTTCCTCAGCCAGATGGGTGACCCCAAGTACCAGTACAGGCCGCAGTTCCACCGGGGTGAGATGGGGGGGCTACTGCAGTGGGAGCCACCGGTGACCCGACGTTCGTGACTGACTGACCTTCTTTATGTGCCTGAGGACTGGGCTGCTTGCACTGCTTGTGTACAATTGCCTATATCAGTATCTGTAAGAATATTCTTCCATCCATATCTCAGAGCGGGAATCTGCCTGATTAAAGAACTTCACCCCCCCCCCCCCCCCCCCCCCAAACCCCCCCCCCCCCCCCCCCCTTTTTTTTTATTACAGTATTGGCATCTGTCACTGTGATAGTTCTCTGTCTCAGTATCTGTAGCGGCTGTGACAACCTTCTCGTATGCATGGCTGGTGCCATTGGGGTTATGGGGCTTCCTGACTCTGAGGCAGGGGGCGGAGAGGCAAACTGGTGGCTACTCTTTCCTGGAGACAGTGTGCGTCTATGGTTACTCTCTCTTCCTGTACATCCCAACCACGGTAAGCCAGCCAAACGCCACCACCTTCCACTAGGGACCACCTCATCTCTTCTCAGGGGCTTGCAGGTTCCTCACCCCATTCATTCTCTCTCAGATGTTGTGGACCATCCCCTTGGAATGGCTTTCTTGGCTGTTAATCCTGGTCACCATGGCGATCTCTGGATCTGTGCTGGTCACCACCTTTTGGCCTATGCTCCGTGAAGACACCAAGACTGTTGCCATCACTACCTTAGTGACAGTTGTGCTGCTGCATGCTTTGTTCATCATTGGATGTAAGGTAAAGCTCAGACTAGAATTTCGTTGGATTTTTATTTTTTTTTAAGACTGGTGTGGGTTGAATGGGGACTCTCAGGCTAGGGATCTGTGGCGGTATTGGGAAGGTTGCCGGTTTGAATGCCAGGGGTGATCCTACTCCGTTGGGCCCTTAACCTGCAATTACTGCATCTTGGGTATGATGTTAATCTACATCCATCCCTGCAAGGAGGTCCTCCTACTTGCAGGGAAAATTTGTTGGTTGGTGGCAGGATTGGCACTGCAGCCACTGGAAAAAAAAACTGTTGCATTCGAACTAGTGTGGTGTTGAGGTATCACCTGCTGCACGGCTGCCCTCAGGTCTCATCACTAAGGTGGTTCGTCGTATGGTGGGTGCAGCAGCGCACTGCAAACAGCCCACGCAACCTTACTTCTCTTTTTAGAGTAAAGCAAAGAATAAGACTGAAGTTTTGCTCTTATTCTCATAACTAATCTCTCTCCTTCCAGCTTTACTTCTTTCAGACAGCAGTACGCACAGGAAGGCCCAGCTCCCTATTGCTCCACTCTTCCTCTAACGTAACGGTGGCACTGACCAGTGCTGCCAAGGAAAGCTGACCAGGAGGTAGTCAGAGTGGTCGGAGCAGGCAAGGATCATTTACAACTTCACGCTACAGTAATTCTACGCATCTGTGATGTATATCAGTTATGTGACGCTCTTGTTGAACGGCGTTAAATAAAGGTGGCCTTTCTAAGTGTTGAGTAAGAATGTGGCAGTCGATGTAATGGGATCGGAAACTGAACCCATATCCATAGCTATACCAAAGTTATTTTTTTGTTGTTCCCTTAACTTCATTGCAACATGTATTAAAATCAGAGTCTGTGAATGATGCATTTCCTGGGTTTTTATTCGTCGTTGGTTGTGCTGAACTTCCATTCTACCTACTTCTTCTATTTTAAGTACTTAAGCAGTGTCTGAGTCCCTGGTCACCAACAGGCTCTAACAGAGTGTTGTGCTCATTATAGAACTGACCACACTGAAATTCTCCCTATCCGTCACTGTCCCCGAATATCTCTTCAAAGAGAAACACAGGACTGAAATGGCACATGACCGCTTCACAATCCTGCCTGTGTATTAGATTTGGAGATTAGGGTTGGAGAGTGACCTACTTACTGCCATTTTAACCAATTTCAAAATGCAGGGTAACGTCCACACGCCAGCGGGGGCCCAGTGGAGGTCACTGCCCCGACGCAGGGTGACGTCCGCACGCCAGCGGGGGCCCAGTGGAGGTCACTGGCCCGACGCAGGGT